AGCCCCAAACCCTAAACCCTATTGTTCAGGCCATGCATCATGGATGCCATTTGGGCTCATACGGCCCATGAAGGGCCCAAGAGGGGTTCGGGGCTTCACCTCCGGGCTTCTGCTTGGAGGTTCATGGGCTACTTCGGGGTCTAGGGTTTAGGGTTTAGGGTTTAGGGTTTAGGGTTTAGGGTTTAGGGTTTAGGGTTCATGGGTGCTTTGTAACCCCAAGTATACGTCTAGTTATCCCACTTAGGTGTCTCAAGAGGGCCGAAGTGCAGTTCGAATTGCAGTTTCAGTACTCCATTGCAAGTACCCCATTCTTGGGGCCCTAAACCCTAAGCCCTAAGCCCAAAGCCCTAAGCCCTAAGCCCTAAACCCTAAACCATAACCCCTAAACCCTAAACCCTAGACCCTAGACCCTGGACCCTAAACCCACTGAAAGTGTCTCCACAGGTGTTTTCTAAGCCCTCCGGCTCCAAAACGACAGAGGCGCACGCAGCCCACCTGATCATCCTCTCCCTGCTCGGCGCCGCCAAAGAGGACTTAGGAGTTTAGTTTGGGTTTAGGGTTTGGTTTAGGGTTTAGGGTTTAGGGTTTAGGGTTTAGGGTTTGGGGTTTGGGGTTTGGGGTTTGGGGTTTCGGGTTTCGGGTTTCGGGATTAGGGTTTAGGGTTTAGGGCAGGCTCATGGGACTTAGTAGCTGCGTAGAACTGGGCTGAAAACCCTACTCATAAGTGGGGTAACCCAAGTCGCCCCAGTTAGAGGATGATAAGTAAGGTGAAAAGCCCAGAAAAAAGGTAGCGACCAAGTCGCATGAACCTTCAAATAGGGGTTTAGGCTAGTTTCATGGGCCCCGAATATGGTCTCTAACCTCCGTGAAAGGGTTCTGATGTGCGGGCCCTTAATTTGTATAGGGTATATTGGGGCCCTTTTTTAGTGCCCATACTAAGTGACAATGGAACTACCCTCTGATCTAGGAGTTTAGGGTCTAGGAGTTTAGGGTCTAGGAGTTTAGGGTTTCGGGCTCAGGGTTTGGGGGTTTAGGCTTCGGGTTTCGTGGTTTGGGGCCGTGGTTTGGGGCTGTTCTGATGCATGGGCCCTTTTTAGGGTCCGGTGGAGTAATTTCGAGCAGCCCCTGCTTGGGCTGATAAGCCCGTAGCTTACTTTTGGGGGTTCCTAGTAAGGGTTAGAGCATCGGTGTGCATACGGCATTTCCCTATTTTCGGAAATGCCCAAATCGCAATTTCTTCGGGCACTCTTCTTGGTTACTAAGCTGCCTGACGTGACCATGAAATACCCTGAGCAGCCAAGTGTCCCAAGTGTCCCAACAAGTCCTCGGGAACAGAAGCGATCTGCAGACTACAGTAACACCCGCTTGCAAACGCTACATAGAGGGGTCGGAAGAATTGCCACCCCAAAACCCTATTCTGATTAGCAAGGCTCCGATACTTCGTTTGGCACGCCCGAAATTCAATGTTAAACACTACCGTAAAGGGTCCGCCCACAAAGGGATGAGGTTCAGGGGCTGTGGCAACCACAACCTTCAAGCCAACACACCCTTCAGCCTCATTAAGGCAGCTGTCGAGGGCTCGCGCTTTCAGGTTTAGTTTACGTTTATCAGGGTATGGGGTTTGGGGTTTGGGGTTTGGGGCTTAGGGTTTAGGGTTTAGGGTTTAATTAGGGTTTAGGGTTTAGGGTTTAGGGCCCTCCGTCCTCGGGCTTGCAGGACAAGAAGCTGCAAGCGCAGATAGTCGAGGCGCTGCAAGGCCGCGTGCCAACTTCGCAGCTTCGGGGTTTTGGAGGTGACTGGCAGGGTTTAGAGGTCAGGATTTGGAGGTTTAGGGTTTAGGGGTTTAGGGGTTTAGGGGATTAGGGGTTTAGGGGTTTAGGGGTTTAGGGGGTTGAGGAGTTACAGGACGGGGGGAGCCAAGGTTCTAAGTTGTAGTAGATGAGTATATAATTTGGCATCCAGCCAGTAGGACGCGTGTTCGAATGATGATTCTTGTACTGTGCTCTGGCTGTTGTGCTGGACATATTGGTATAGATCCCTAAACCCTAAACCCTAAACCCTAAACCCTAAACCCTAAACCCTAAACCCTAAACCCTAAACCGCATTTGGTATAGATCCAAGTATGAGCCTGAGGGTTTGAGAATTAGGTTCAGGAATGCTAGGCTTTGATCTCTGTAGGATTGACAGAGTATGGACGGACCTTTAGTTCTCTCGGTTTAGGGTTTGGGGTTTGGGGTTTAGGGTTTAGGGTTTAGGGCTCAGGGTTGGAGCAATCCCGATCTGATCGTCTGGGCTGCAAATAACTCCTCTGCATCAGGCGCGAACAGTGACATCCAGGCGGGCAACCAGCGGAGCGAAACCCTAAACCCTAAACCCTAAACCCTAAACCCTTAACCCTTAACCCTTAACCCTTAACCCTTAACCCTTAACCCTTAACCCTTAAACCTAAACCCTAATCACTTCCCCCTTTTATTAAAGACCCCCCTAATACGAAAAATACTTTCCGGAAAATCCTGCCGAAACCGAGCCCGCCTTTTAAAACCTATTCCGAATTGGGGGGGGGGTTCAGGGTTCTAAGACCCTGAAGCCAACGAGGGTTTAGGGTCTAATTAGGGTTAAGGGTTTAGGGTTTAGGGCTTTCAGTACTTGATTACTTGAGTAAATCTGGAGTCCAGAACATGGCATTTCGATAAAAACCTCCCCCTAATAATACAAACACATTTCGAATTTCTATTGGGGGGGGGGGGGACCCCCCGTTTAATATTAGGGGGAAACGATTAAACCCTAAACCTTTCAGCAGAAAGGGGCTGCTGCGAAGTTCTACAGGTTAGCGCTCCAGAAACCCACGCCCCTAAAGCCTCAAAGCCCAAACTCAGCATCCTCCGGCAAATGCTTAAAGCCCTCAAACCCTCCTAAACCCTAAGCCCAAAACCCTTAAACCCCATAAGCCCACTAGTTCCACCGGAGATAAGACGACGCCGCAGGCTAGAGGTCTCCAGCTCAGCCGCAGGCTCAGTGGCCAAAGATGTGCCCTTCCCCAGGTTGTTTTGAGTGGGGGTCGTTAAGGTTTCAGGGCTTAGGGCCTTAGGGCTCAGGGGTCTTTAAGGGGCAGAGACCGAGGGGGCTTTTCAGAGCTTCTCTAAGTGCTCTCACTTCATGGGTTCACGGTGCAAGGCTTGAAACCCTAAACCCTAAACCCTAAACCCTAAACCCTCAACCCTCAACCCTCAACCCTAAACCCTAAACCCTAAACCCTAAACCGCTTTAGGGGCGGGAGCGCCGAGGCACTGACCTCAAGGCCTCCTTCGACCACCTTCTGGTGTCCTACCTGGGCGCCTGCGACGGGCTCAGGTGGCAGGGCTTTAGGGTTTAGGATTTAGGGTTTAGGGTTTAGGGTTTAGGGTCTAATTAGGGTTTAGGGTGTAGGGTTTAGGGCATAGGGCTCAGGGCTCAGGGCTCAGGGCTTAAGGCTTTAGTGCTTGGGCTTTAGGGGTTCTAAAGGCCTTAAGGGTATTAGGGGTCTAAGGGTTCAGGGTTGGTTGAGGGTTTAGGGCTTAGGGCTTAGGGCTTTGGGCTTTAGGGTTTTAGGGTTTAGGGCTTTGTGCTTTCATCCCCATAAACTTACGCTTTGCAGACAGGAGCTTATAGGCAGTTGCCAACATTCTCCCTTAGAATCCCCTTGCAAGATGGTCATCTAAACTACCGGTACCCAGATGTGCCCATTCCAAACCGTTTGGGCTTTTTCCCTTACAGCCGCTTGCAAACCCTAAACCCTGAACCCTAAACCCTACACCAAAAACCCTGAACCCTAAACCCTAAACCCGAAACCCTAAACCCTAAACCGTAAACCCCAAACCCCAAACCCCAAACCCCAAACCCCAAACCCCAAACCCCAAACCCCAAACCCTAAACCCTAAACCCTAAACCCTAAACCCTAAACCCTAAACCCTAAACCCTAAACCCTCAGACTCAGGCACCGAGGTCGCCTCGTCCTCGCTGGCGGGCGCCGGGCGCGGCCCGGAGAAGCTGTCGAAGCTGGAGAGCGGCTCGGCTTTTGGGTTTAGGCTTTAGGGTTTAGGGTTTAGGGTTTCGGGCTTAGGGTTTAGGGTTTAGGATTTAGGGTCGGTTCCAGGGCTCGGTGGGGCTGGGGGGGGGGGGGGGCTAAACCCTAAACCCGAAACTCTTAAACCCGAAACCCAAAACCCTAAACCCCAAACCCTAAACCCTAACCCTAAACCCTTAACCCTAAACCCTAAACCCTAGTTTTCAAGATGTATATCTTGAACCCCCCTCAACCCCTAAACCCGAAACCCGTCTGGGCCACGAGGTGAGATCGAGCACCTTGAGAAGCTGAACTCGCAGCTCAAGGCAGCCGAGGGTGGTCCTCAGCAGGGACAGGGTTTAGGGTTTAGGGTTTAGGGTTGAGGGTCCAGGGGTTTAGGGGTTAGGGTTTAGGGTTTAGGGTTTAGGGTTCAGGCTTAAGGGACAGGGTTTAGTAGCTAGGGATCCTACTAAAGGCGAATCTAAGATACAAGTACGAAGAACCGGCAAGTTAAGGGTTTAGGGCGTTGGCATTTGAGGCGCTGACCTCACTTGCGGGCCGGTTTTTTGGCATACACCAGACTCCAAGCCATAAGGAGCACCTAGCTAAACAGGGACCATCTCATTTAGACCCCGAAGCCCTAAGCCCTAGGGTTTTAGTTCTGTGTGCCGAGGGTCTTGCGGGGTTGGAGTTTCGGAGTCGAGGGGGTTTAGGGTTTAGTGGTTAGGGTTTAGGGTTTAGGGTTTAGGGTTTAGGGTTTAGGGTTTAGGGCCGGCTTGGGTGGGGCAGATGTGTGGGTTTCGGTCGTACTCATGGGGTGTTGCAGCCTACGCCCTTGTCCAAACCTCCTTAGATTGCAAACCTCAAGTCCTAAACCCGCACCCTAGACCCTCAAACCCTAAACCGCATCTGGCCTCAACTCCTGCTCGTTCGCCTCAACTCCTCCTCGTTCGCAGGATTTTTTTCCGGGAGCTTCCCCGACATACCTGTTATGCAGGCCTCGTATTACTCTCAGGGCTGCTAGAAGACCTGTACAAGGTATGCTACGTTTTAGGGTTTTCGTGTTCCCCTAAGCCCTAAGCCCTAAGCCCTAAGCCCTAAGCCCTAAACCCTAAACCCTAAACGGATTGGGGTTTACGGCTTGGGGTCACTTCCTCGCAGGTCCAACTCCGGCAGCAGCACGCCGCAATGCACCGACACTCTGCAGAAAAAAGCTGTCGCCCTAGCCCAAATCCCCCCCTCAATGGCCCTAGACCCTGAACCTACATGGATTCCGGTTAAACATGAAGCCCGAAGCCCTAAGCCCTAAACCCTAAACCCTAAGCCCGAAACCCTAAACCCTTTTAGGGGGACACCCGGTTTCCCCCATGTCCCTCCTAAGAACCTCGTGGGGGTTAGGGTTTCGGGCTACATGGTTCCTGAATAAGGGCCCTTAAATGGGGACCCCTTAGAAAATTACAAACCTGATAAAAGTCAAGGGTCCTCACATCAGAACCCTTTTTGAGGGCAAGGGACCATATCAAGGGCCCATGTAGCTCTAAACCCTAAACCCTAAACTCTAAATCACAAACCCCAAGCCCTGAACCCTGCCTGAACCCTAAAGTCTAAACTCTGTAAAGAAGTTAAGGGACCCTATTAAGAGCCCATGAAACTACCCTTAGATCTGCGCAGAGATCTGAGGCATGGCGGACTTCGTGAGCATCGAGAGCGACCCAGTAGTGGCCGGGTTCAGGGTCTCCGGTTTAGGGTTTAGGGCTAGGGTTTAGGGTTAGGGTCTAGGGATTAGCACTAAGACCTGAGTTGCCCAGAAAGGGAGTTGCGAGCCTCTGGGGCGTAGCTTCCAGGTTTTCTGGGGGGCTTACTGACGTCGTTTAGTGTTTAGGCTCCCTTATGAGGCCCCTTAAACAACAAGGGCAACCTCGTTATTCCTGGAGAGCCTCCGAAGTTTCGAGCTTGGGGTTTTCGGGCTTTAGGCTTGCAGGAGTTTCCAGGGATTCATTGTTATTGTTTTTTCAGGGTTTGGGGTTCTAGCGGTTTAGGATCATAAGGGTTGTTCTGGGTCCATGAGTGCACCATTTTTCAGCGTGCCACAAGATGAGCTCATCAGGGTAACATACTCTAGCCATCCAAAGGGTGGTTTTGTTGGGCTGTGGCCACTCAGGAAGCCAGTTGAAGGTCACCCTAAACTCTAAACCCCTAAACCCCTAAACCCCTAAACCCCTAAACCCCTAAACCCCTAAACCCCTAAACCCCTAAACCCCTAAACCCCTAAACCCCTAAACCCTAAACCCTAAACCCCTAAACCCTAGGTTCCACGCAGTCGGGTTTGGGGTTGGCAGCACGTCCTTGCACCCGAAATCCGAAGTCCGAGCAGCGCTAGGGCTTGTTGGGGGTCTCACTTGTTTAACTGCACAGGTGTCGACATTCTCCGCTGCTACTACTAGTCGTACTCGTACTACTCGTACTACTACTACTACTACTACTACTACTACTACTACTACTACTACTACTACTACTACTACTACTACTACTACTACTACTAGTACTACGACTAGTACTAGTACTACTACTACTACTCCTACTACTACTACTACTACTACTACTACTACTGCTGCTTCTACTACTACTGCTTCTACTACTACTACTACTACTACTACTACTGCTGCTGCTGCTACTACTACTACTACTACTACTACTACTACTACTGCCACTACCACTACTACTACTACGACGACTACGACTACGACTACGACTACTACTACGACGACGACTACGACTACTACTACTACTACTACTACTACTACTACTACTACTACTACTACTACTACTACTACTACTACTACTTATATTTTTTCAAATGGTTAATTTTCACTACTATTCCTGGCCAGATTATTGTGATGATCATTTGTATAGTTTTTGGTTTACAACCCCACAGGCAACAGACCCTACCCCTGAAACAGCTACAAGCATGTCTGTCTCAACGCCTGGCAGGAACAGGCGCTCGAAGGCATCATCCGCTGCCTAGCAGCAAACGTGGTAGCGCTCTTGCGGGCTTTCAATGTTTGATGGCTCGGGGTGTTTTGGCTTATAGGTTTAGGTTTTGGGGTTCAGGGGTAAGGGTATCTAGTGTTGAGCGTTTCGGAGTTTGCGGCTTACTTCAGTCTTTGGTCCTTGGCGGTTGGTTTAGGTGTTGTTGATTGAGATGGGTTTGAGTAGCCTTGACTTTAGCCCCGAAACTCCGAACCCTAATCCCGGAACCCTCAACCCTAAACCCTAAACCCTAAAGCCCGAAGCTTAACCCTCAACCCGAAAACCTAAATCCTAAACCCCAGCCTTGCCGAAGCAAATGCCTTCGTTGACCGAAGCCCCGAAGACGTGACCCAGGTCTGGGTTGGGACAGCCTGAACTGGAAGCGAGGTGGGTTTCGGGATTTGGGGTTGTTTCGGCTTGTTTCGGCTTTGAGGGCCCCTAAACCCTAAACCCGAAACCCTAAACCCGAAACCCCAAACCCTTAAAAGTGGTTGCTTTTGGGGTTTGACTTTTCTGGGGAATTCAAGGAATCCCTCGAAGTAAAGGTGTGATATGAGGGTGAGCATTCTTGACTCCTTGACAAAAACGAAGCCGGAGAAAGCCGTTGCGCCTTAAACTGGGCTTGCGATGTCTTAGGATGTAAGGAGCCAGGTATGCGCTACCCCTCCCATGTAGTGCAACCTTTTTTGCGGGGTCCTCCCTACAAGGTTTGCAGGGATACTAGTACCCTGATTCCAGAGAGTAGGCCCTGATTCCCTTTTCTTCGCCCTTGAGCCCTAAACCCTAAACCCTAAACCCTAAACCCTAAACCCTAAACCCTAAACCCTAAACCCTAAACCCTAAACCCTAAACCCTAAACCCTAAACCCTAAACCCTAAACCCTAAACCCTAAACCCTAAACCCCGAAGCCAAAACTCGCACACCCCCCCGCCCCGCATGGGAGTATCCAACGTCTTTTCTGAACCCGAGATCCCCACCTAAGCCTAGAGCTGCTTGCTAAAGTGGAAGTCCTGAACCCCAAGCCCTAAACACCAAAACACCTGAACCCCTCATTCAACACGTAAGTCTAAACCCTAAACCCTGAACCCGGAAGCCGAAACCCTAAACCCTAAACCCTAAACCCTAAACCCTAAACCCTAAACCCTAAACCCTAAACCCTAAACCCTAAACCCTAAACCCTAAACCCTACCCCTAAACCCTAAACCCTAAACCCTAAACCCTAAACCCTAAACCCTAAACCCTAAACCCTAAACCCTAAACCCTAAACCCTAAACCCTAAACCCTAAACCCTAAACCCTAAACCCTAAACCCTAAACCCTAAACCCTAACCCTGAACCCAGTGCTCCCACTGGGCAAAGAGGCTACACCATGCTGCACTACTGTGCCGAGTGTGTGGAGGAGCCGACGGCGGGAAGCACAGTCTTTCACCCCAAGCCCTTAACCCTAAACCCTAAACCCTAAACCCTAAGCCCTAAATCCTAAGCCCTAAATCCTAAGCCCTAAACCCTAAGCCCTAAATCCTAGCCCCTAAGCCCTAACCCCTAGGCCCCAAAGCCCTAAACCCTAGCCCTAAACCCTAAACTCTCTGGACCCCAAGCGATGGGCTCTGCCCCTGTCAGACTTCGGCGGTTCAAGCTGGCATTGTAAACCCCTCAGTGTAGGGTTTAGGGTTTCGAGTTTAGGGTTTAGGGTTCAGGGAGGATGGAGTTCCGGCAGAAGGCTTGTAAGGCTCAGAGTTGCAAAGATTGCAGTATTTGCAAAGGTTGCAAGGGTAAGGGTTTAGGGTTTAGGGTTTAGGGTTTAGGGTTTAGGGTTTAGGGTTTCGGGTTTAGGGTTTAGGGTTTAGGGTTTAGGGTTTAGGGTTTAGGGCTGCAAGGGCCCTTTAAACTCTTGAAGAAGCGCCCGCTTGGACCCGCACTGGATGCCGAGGTTGTTGAGCTGATTGGCTTGCTGGCAGCGGGCCTGGCAAGGCATGTAGTACTGCTAGGATGCATAGGGTTTAGGGTTTAGGGTTTAGGGTTTAGGGTTTAGGGTTTAGGGTTTAGGGTTTAGGGTTTAGGGTGTAGGAGCTGCAACTGGGTGCCTGAAGGAGCCGAAGTGGGAAGGCTTCTTGCTTGTGAGCACAACATTGTGACTGGGCCCTAAATCCCGAACCCCAAGACCCCAAACCTGAGCCTTACATGCTGCATCTTACCGTCCTTTTAGCACCCTCCCCCTCTACCCCCCAGAAGCCTCACAACACCCCATAGCCCCTATTGGGTTCTGGGTTTGGGGTTGGGCCCCTAAACCCTAAACCCTAAACCCCAAAACCCTGAAGTCCCCTAGTCTATGGCCCCTTCCATCGAGGCAGCTCCTCCCCGCCCCCCCCCGCCGCACCCCCGAACCTCTTGGTCCACTTAGGCGACCGATGTGGATCGCAAGGACGACAACGGATTTCGTCGGGCTCCTGGGTACCTTGAGGTTTAGGGTGTCCAGGGTGTTTTGGGGCTTGTGGGGTTCTAAGTTTGCGGTCGGGCTGGGGGGTGGGGAGGGGGGGGGGTCGGATGTTTAGGTTTTTTTGGGGGCGGGGGCCCCTACAACTTGTCAGCCCACCTCAATCCAAAAAGCTGCTCCTGGGCGTGTGTTGGTGACAACGCACCCTAACCCCCAACCCTAAACCCCAAACCCTGAACCCTAAACCCTAAACCCTATAGAAAGAGCTGCAGGAAGTCCCCGTGCCTTGACTGCCCAGGTCCAATCGACTATGCGGCTTGGCTTAGATAGGGTTTCTGCTTTGTAGGGGGGTTCTTATGAGGGTATTTTGTGGTGATATGAAGGCATACCGGTAGCAGATAAAAAGGCTTGGCTTTTCAGTGTATTTTTGGATTTAGGGGGTGAGGTGAGGGCATCGACTTCTACAACGTCACACAAGCTTTACCGATTTGGTGTTTGCCGAAAAAGGGGTGCCCTGTTTGGAGGTCCCTGTAAGGAGATTGTATTCTATTTGGGGTACAAAAGGGGTGCCCCTATTTTGGATCATACCCATTTACTGGTGCAGGAAGATTTTTTCCGGCGTTCTTGGCACAGGCCCGACAAACGGGTCGTGAGCCGATCATCCAGATGCTGGAGAAGCTGCAGGGGCCTCGGAGAGCCACGCTGATTCAGGCCGTGAGCAGTATGTGTGTACCCTATTTACTTTGGCGAAGCGTTTCCGAGTCAGGGAATCCTACTGTTTGAGGGTCTATATTAAGGGTCCCCTATTTTCGCAAACGCCATATGCGTATATGTATGTACAGGTATAGGTATGGGTATAGGTATCGCGGCTCGTAAAATTCTCTTCCTGACATGCAACACAGAATGCCCTCAGTTTGCGGTTGCCAGCGGGGATGAGGTTCGGAAAATCGGGACTCTAACCCTAAACCCTAAACCCTAAACCCTTACTAAATTCTAAACCCCAAACCCTCAACCCTAAACCGTAAACCCTAAACCCTAAACCTCAAACCCTAACCCTAAACCGTCTGCGCAAAGCCTCGGCAAAGGCGAAAGATCCACAAGAAGCTGGCATCCGGAGTGAAGGTGGGCGACAAGGTGGGCGAGACTCCCTGATAACCCTAAACACTAAACCCTAAACCCCAAACCCTAATCCCCAAACCCTAAACCCTAAACCCCAAACCCTAAACCCTAAACCCTAAACCCCAAACCCTAAACCGCAAACCCGAAACCCTAAACCCCAAACCCTTAAACCTAAACCCTACACCCTAAACTATAAACCCTGAACCTGGAAGGTGGCTGAGAAAGAGCCCGTGAAGAGGGAGGCCGCCGTCAAGGAGTCCACTGAGAAGAGGCCGGAGAAGGCGGGTCCGAATGTGTCGAGGGTTTTGGGGTTTAGGGGTTTAGGGTGCAGGGTTGAGGGTTTAGGGTTTAGGGTTTGGGGTTTGGAGTTTAGGGGGTTAGGGGTTTAGGGGTTTGAGGGTTTAGGGTTTTTAGGGTTTTGGGTTTGGGTTTAGCTTCAAGGGTTTGGTTTGGGGGTTCTACAAGGGTTTAGGGTTCATAGGGCGGGCATGTGCACAGGTGATACCATAAGAACTAATGACCCCCCAAACCCTATGTTAATTGCTTATTAAGGCCCACTATATCCTTACGGATGTCAGGGATTGGGGTTTACCCGATTGTTGTTGTGGTACAAGGGTGCCTGGGCCGGCGTAGTTCTTCGGATCCTGGCATGGAATTCCCCAAACACGTCAAACCTACAGGGTCTGGGCGCCAAAAGACCTTCAGCTTCAAGCCATATGAAATACGCTCCTGACGCTGAAGTTTGCTTGGGGAGGGTGCAAGGTAGACCCCTGAAGAAGAAGCGTTTTGGTGGATTTCCTTGCTGGAGCTAACCGCAATTGCACGCCCTTCTTGGCGATACGATGATCATCGCGTTGACCAGATAGATTCGGGCGCCAACTCGGGCCCATAATTCTTAAACCTTCAACCCTAAACCCTGAACCCTAAACCTAAACCCCGACCCTAAACCCGAAACCTAAACCGTATCCTTAAGCCCTGACCCCGCCTCCCCCCCCCCCTCCCCCTCGCCCCCCTCCCCACCACAAGACTCAAGATTTCTTGGAACCAGAGTAGGCCCCTCTTCCCTTTTCTGGGGGCTGGGTTACCTTATAAGCCCCTTTAAAACCAAGCAGTTTCATTCCTATGTCACTCTTGGGTCTAGTCATAGTCTGCCAGCCCCATACCCCAATAAACATAAACACGAATGAGCCCTTTATGGGGTTAGGGTTGAGGGTTTTGTCCGCTATAAACCCTACTGCAAACCCCATAAACCCCACAACTCCTAGACATCCTACAATGCTTAAAACCCTATGAACACTAGAAGCTCTATGAGCCCTTCAGAGGGTTGTTGGTGTTTCAGGGTTTTAGTCAGAAGCCGAATGCCCGAAACGCCCTAAGCACCCTAAACCCTAAGCCCTAAGCCCTAAGCCCTAAACCCTAAACCCTAAACCCTAAACCCTAAACCCTAGATTCCCTGAACCCCCTCGACACGTCACAGGAGCAGGAGCCACGAGAGCGGTTTGTGACGCGAAGCCAAAGCATCGTGAAAGAGAAGGCCTGCCTGCCGTGATCGGTCGGAGGTGAGGGTGTTGGGGTGTTGGAGTTTTGGGGTTTTGGGGTTTTGGGGTTTTGGAGTTTTGGGGTTTTGGGGTTTTGGGGTTTTGGGGTTTTGGGGTTTTGGGGTTTAGGGGGTTTAGGGGGTTTAGGGGGTTTAGGGGGTTTAGGGGGTTTAGGGGGTTTAGGGGGTTTAGGGTTTAGGTTTAGGGTTTAGGTTCTTTCATCCAATAGGTTTCCAAACCAAAAGGTCTGTGACTAAGCCCTGAGTCTAGCTCAACGCCCCTCAACCTCTCAGACCCCGTAAATCCTAGACCTTATAGCATGTCCTACTTATTTAATACCTGCAGTATAGTAGTAACTACCCTAATTAGGTAGGTATAACCCATATTAAAGGGTTTAGGGTTTAGGGTTTGGGGTTTAGGGCTTAGGGCTTGGGGCTTAGGGTTTACTACCCTAAATTAGGTAGGTATAGCCCATAAAGACCTGTTGGTAAAGAGAGGCCCAGGTAAGCCCTCTACAGATCCTAAGCCCCTCAGCCCCCCAAGACCCCCTCGAAGCCCGACTTCCTATCCTTAGCCCTGTAAGGGCCAAACCCTACAAGCCCTGGACCGCCGTTTTAAAAGAAACCCAAACCCTAAAGCACCCTCAAACCCTAACAGCCCTAAAAAGTCCCGAGCAACCCACTAAGCCCTAGATCCTAAAAAAAAACTCAAAACCCTAAACGCCCTTCAAACCCCAACAACCCTACAAAAACCTCTAACAGCCCTCAAAACCCTCAAAAAACACCAAAAAACAACCCCAACAACAAGCCCTAACAATCCTCAAAGCCCTCAAGACCCTCGGCCCATAGCGGCAGACCGATGCCGACGTCCGGAAGCAGCTCTCTGAGGCCACAGGAATGAACCGCCAGCCGTGACCTCGGGGCGTAGGGTACGGGCTTAGGGGTTTAGGGTTTAGGGTTTGTTGTTTAGGGCGTAGGGGCTTAGGGGCTTGGGGCTTCGGGTCTGTTTGCAAGGCTCCAAAATCCTGCCCCCAAAACCCAAGACGCTAAGCCCCAAAACGTGTTTAGGGTTTAGGGTGTAGGATTTAGGGTTTAGGGTGTGCTCGGCGAGGTCGCGCGGGTAAGCGCGCAGTAGTATGCGGACACGCGCACTCCAAGGCCACCCAAACGCTACTCGAAACGAAGCCAACCGGAGCTATAAACAGACGAAGACCTTAGTGAGGAGCAGTAGCTTTCGGGAGAAACTCAGGTTTTGCGGCGGGGGACGTCTTCGGCCGGAGGGCCTTCTCATTGCTGACTCATCGAGTCCCAAAGCCCAGGTGCATGGGGCGAAAACCTGTTCGTCTTGTGCGGGATATTGAAAGCATCTGAGCGACTCTTCCCTCAAGATTTTTCAAGTCCTGCACTGGGGAAAAGCCCTCTCTAAGCCCCTCCCAAGAGTCTTCAGGGAGAGGCTCGCAAACTTGGTCGCGACTGCTTGCCCTGGTCTCACTGAGCGCTCGACTGCGCCCACCTTACCCCAATAGAGGTGAGAGGGGTGGTAGCGGGCGGGTTTAGAGTTTTAGAAACCCCAAACCCCCCACACCCTAATACACCCGAATAGCAATGCACCCTAAGACACCCTACACGCCATAAGCGCAAAACCCCTCAACCCCGTTCCCTGAACCCTCGAAAGTCCAGGCTGAAGGTGGCCGTGGAGAAGGTCCTGGACAAAGGCCATGACATTGGGTTCTCAGGGTGAAGGGTTGGGGTTTTGGGTTTGGGGCTTTTGGGGTTTGTGGGGCTAGGTTTTTGGGTTTAGGGTGAGGGCTTTGCTTTGAGTTCCCCAAACCCCTAAACCCTAAACCACAGGTTTTTGGGGGGCTTGGTGTCTTCTTCAGCCTTGAGATGCTGGCGGATCTCACGCCCCCCTCCCCCCAAGCCCAACACCCTAAACGGATCAGGGTTTAGGGTTTAGGAGTTTAGGGGTTTAGGGTTCAGGGTTTAGGGTTTCAGGGTTCAAGGGTTTAGCCCGAACACCCTAATCCGCGCGACAGGCTGGAATAGCATCACCTGGCCTTCGAACTTCTCCGCTGTGCACCTGGCGGCGAAGGTCGGTGATGCTGGGCGCCCAAGGTAAGGGTTAGGGTTTGGGGTTTGGGGTTTAGGGTTTAGGGTTTAGGGTGTTACGGTTTAGGGTTCACGGTTTTAGGGGCCCACAAGCCCCATAAAGGCTTACGTACCTAAGTGATGGGATGTTTCGGGGTATACTATCTTTCCTCTCCCATATACTGAGAACTTTTGATAGGAGCTTAAGCAGGTAATGTTTAACCTTTTGGGGTATCTAGAATCCTCAACCCTAAACCCTGAACCCTAGACCCTAAACCCTAAATCCTAAACCCTAAGCCCTAGTATCGACCTCAGGTGGCGGCCGTCGATATTCTGGCAGATCTCGGTGCAGATCTCTCGTGCTGCCGGCAGTTTTCCCGGCCCAAAGCCCTCTACACCCTTCACGCTCCTAGGGGCACGTGGGCCAGAAGCCAGAAAGCGTTCTAAACCCCCCCGAAGCCCTAAACCATAAACCCCTTAAACCGCCTAACATCCTACGAAGGACCCCGAAACCCTGAACCTCCCCCCCCCCCTCCCCCCACAGTGCTGCACTTCTCTCCCCTTGTTTGAGAGTCAGGTTCAAACCCCACTCAACCAAAACCTTTTTGTTTCTCCTAGGCCATGTGCGCTAAACCCCAAACCCCAAACCCCAAACCCCAAACCCTAAACCCTAAACCCCAAACCCTAAACCCTAAACCCTCAACCCTAAACCGTAAGTTAATCCTCCACCCTAAGCCCTAGAGCCCTGCACCATCCACACCATAAACCCTAAACCCTAAACCCTAAACCCTAAACCCCATTGTGTAGAGCCAGGCGTGCCGATGATTGGCAGCTAACGCCCATCGACTACGCCGAGATCCACAGAAGCTTAGGGCTTTTAGGGTTTAGGGTTTAGGGTTTGGGGTATAGGGTTTAGGGTTGGGTGAATAGGGTTTAGGGTTGAAATTCCGGGTCTTGATTGGGGTTTGGAGTTTAGAGGTTGTGAGTTAGGGTTCAGAAGATACCCTAAACCCTACATCCTAAACCATAAACCCTAAACAGGGTGGGGTGCTGCGGTTTGGGGGTTCAGAGGTGTTGGGTGTCTGGCGCTTGCGGCACGATCAGGGTCGGGGGACATGGGGTTCGGGGCAGGGTTTTAGAGTTTTGGGTTCAGGCTTTGGCTTTAAGGGTTTAGGGTTTGAAAGGTTTAGGGTTTAGGGTTTTGTGTAAAAAAGGGTTTAGGGTTTTGTGTAAAAAAGGGTTTAGGGTTTTGTGTAAAAAAGGGTTTAGGGTTAAAGTGTTTAGGGTTTAAAGGGTTTAGGTCTAAAGGGTTTAGGGTTTGAAGGGTTTAGGGTCTACGTTTTAAAGGGCTTTGGTTTGGGGTTTAAAGGGTAAAGGGTTTGGGGATTAGGGTTCAGGGCTTAGGCTTTGGGATTTCTAGGGTTTTTGGTGATTCAAAGTTTACGGTTTAAAGGGTTTGGGGAATAGAGTTCGGGGTAGCTTTTGGGGTTTCTGGCTTTCAGGCTTATAGGTTTGAAATGCAAGGAATTGAGGGTAGAACAAATTGAAGATGATGTTCAAATTTGCGCCGTTTAGGGTTTTATGGCTTTGGGTTTAGGGTTTAGGGTTTAGGGTCTAGGGTTTAGGGTTTAGGGTCTAGGGTTTTTGTGATGGTCTGGGGTTTAGGGGTCAACTTCAGGCTTCCCAGTGCCAGAAGTTGCGAGAAGACTTGCAACTTGAGGACAGGAACCCGCAAACAGCCAAAGGGCGTAAAGGCACAATACAACGCGATCCCAGTAGCATCGGAAGATCAAAGTAGCATCGGAAGATCCACAAATTCGTAAACAGAAGCTCTCACCCCCCCAACCCCCCCCCCCCCCCCCCCCCCCCCCCCCCCCCCCCTTAAAAAGCCATGTTTTATTTTCATAGGGCCCCCAAACCAGTTTCGGTAAACGCTTCCTTTTCAAGTTGAGAACCATAAAGCTGCCAGCAAACCCAGACGTCTCCTCCCAAACCTAGAACCACATAATTATAATCATAGGCCCTAAACTTTAACCCTGAACCCTAAACCCCAAACCCTACAAACCCAGTCCTCGGGGTTACCGGTTGCGGAGGTTTGCCTCACTAAGACCTCCACTCGTCGGTAGGACCGGTAGGAGGCCTCTTCAGGAAAGCTTAAAAGGCGCAGGAGGTAGGTTTGCCCACCTAGACAAAAAAGGCATGGGTAGGTTCTAGGGTCCAAGCCGCCCCAACAACTACCAAGAAGGAGCATTGCAGGAGTTGGTGGATCTTCTGTGATCTAAACCCTAAACCCTAAACCCTAAACCCTGAACCCTATGAGTCTGCGCGCCGGTATCTTTTTGGCTAATGGGGCTGAGGCCGCATCGCGGGGGCAGCACGACGTCGTTGCGGCGCTGCAGCGACACCTGGCAAAGGCCACAGAAGCTCAGGGTTTAGGGTTCAGGGTTTAGGGTTTTTAGGGGGTTTAGGGGGGGAGGGGGGGAGGGGGTTGGGGGGTTAGGGGGTTCAGGGGGTTTAGGGGGTTTCGGGGGTTTAGGGTTTAGGGTTTAGGGTTTAGGGTTTAGGGTTTAGGGTCAGAGCAGGATGCACATCATCTTGCCCATGCACCAGAAGCAATCTTGTGTCGAGTATCGCCCGTTCATGAGGTCCGACCTGTATTTGGTGCTCAGTATGTTATGTAGTTTCACGTATAGCAAGAGACTCCAAATCCCAGCGCCATAAACCTCTAGCCAGAATCCTGGTCCTTGAAAAACTGGCATGGGTAAGGAGATTTAGGTTCCGGTTCTTGAGTTCTCAACACCCCATCCGACCACTCTGCCTCGAAGCACGGCATCTATAAATACTTGAGTGTCCAAGTTTTTTGATGTCAAGATAGGAAAACAAGTATAAGTAGAAGTACAAGTATAAGTATAAGTATATCTATATATACATATGTACATATATTATATATTATACAGTTATATAAGTGTTTTTGTATAGACGCTCTTCCCTTCGCAGCCCCCTCACCCCCCCCCCCCCCCCCCCCCCCCCCCCCCCCCCCCCACAAGTCAAGTGAAATGTGCCAAACCCTGTGCATGGCAGGCGCGGGAGATGGCGGCCAGCGAGAAGATTGCCGAGCTGCGCGATCCTCAAGTTGACTGATGGCCTTCCGTTGCACGGAAGGATGAGGGGGTTTAGGGTTTAAGGTTTAGGGTTTAGGGTTCAGGGTTAGGGATACTTAGGGTGGTTCTCGTACTGAGGTACAGTACCCTGTGTCCAGGTTTAGGGTTCAGGGTTAGGGATACTTAGGGTGGTGCTCGTACTGAGGTACAGTACCTGCCTGGACAGGGATCGGGGTCGGGTTGAAGTTGCCATCTTCAGTACCCATCCCAAACCCTCAACTCATCACCCTTGACTTACTAAGTAGTTCTTCGCCAGCTGCAGGGGGGAATCCCAGAAGAGGGCGCGGCTCCCGACTGCTTGCGCAGTTTTTGTTTTGCTGTGTTTGGACTTGCCGGTGCTTGCTATTCTTGAGGGCTTCCTTTGAGAGCGATCTTCGCCGATTCTAAAGAGGATGTCAAAGGAGTTCTTCAAGGCCTGAAGGCTTCAGGGCTGAGGATTCGGGGCTTCAGATCTCACCCGAGCCCTCGCCCGAGGCTTCCGGAACCGGCACCTCCCCACGCAGCTCTTCGCCCAGTCTCAGCCCCCGCCGCGAGCGCGAGGCCCCAGCCTCTCCGTGGAGCAGCCATGGGCAAGCCATAGCCTCCATTGGCTCCCCGAGTTCCCCGAGCTCCCCAAGCTCCCCGAGCTCCCCGAGCTCCCCAAGCTCTCCGGCTCTGCGGGCCTCCCGCAGCCCCGTGGGCGCCACGGAGGGGCACGCGGCCGCGGCGCCCGCGCGCGCGCCCGCGCGCCTCGGCGCGCTTCGGGTAGTAGTGCCGGTTGCTCCGGTTTTTGTGGCTTGTTTTGGCACAAAGGCACTTCAATCCCTCAGCCAAAGCCTCCTCCAAAACGCCCAAAAATGCCAAACCCGATAAACCTTAAACCCTTCAAGTCCGAACACTCAACCACTACACCCTAGACTCTAAACCCTAACCCTAAACCCTAAAGCCTAAACCCTAAACCCTAAACCCTAAACCCTTAACCCTCAACCCTTAACCCTTAAAACCTAAACCCTTACCTTAAACCCTAAACCCTAAACCCCAAATCCTAAACCTACCCCCTTTAAACCCTAAACCCTTCAAGCCCTTAGCGCCACCCTGAGGTCGCCGACTGGAGAGGGGCGGCGGCTGTCAGGAGCCTCGCCCAACGGTTCCCGCCCGCGGCAGTCCACGGCCACTTGGGTTTAGGGTTTAGGGTTTAGGGTTTTGGGTTTTGGGTTTTGGGTTTAGGGTTTAGGGTTTTGGGTTTTGGATTGTGGGTTTAGGCTTCTAAACCCACAAACCTGAACACCTTAACCTCGACACTCAACACTAAACCCTAAACCCTAAACCCTGGAGTCCTTGCGGGCTGTATTGGGGTTTGGGGTTTGGTTTTTTGCTCCAGTCCCCTCGAACAACTCAGACCCCTAAAGCCCTCAACGCTTTGTCGGGGTGCGGGCAGCGCCTAAACCCTAAACCCTAAACCCTAAACCCTAAATCCTAAACCCTAAATACAACGGTGGCTTGTCAGAATCAGGTCAAAGCGCCGCTCGCCGACCCAGGGCCAATTCCGGAGGGGCTCAGGCCCTTCCCCCCCCTCAATTTTCAACCCTAAACCCTAATATCCTGACATCCTAAACCCTATAGACCCCAAATCCTAGCAGCTTGTGGGTTTAAAAGGCGGTAGGTTTGCGCTGGGGTAGGCCGGGCTAATGGCCAGCGCACACCACGAACCCCAAACTACGACGAACAGCTATTTGTATTTGCTTGCGTCAGCGAGGCCACTGGTCGTTGGCATCAGGAGCGTCTGTGGGGGCGCCAGCCGCCGTCAGCGATATCCATCAACGCACACTTGTAGGCCGCTTGCTGTGGTTTACAGGAGGTGTGCGTTGGCTGTGGCCCTGGATGTCCGTGTGGTTCCGCATGGCTGCAAAACCCACGCTGCGTTTCCAGCATTTAGATCGGGATCAGCTTGCAGAATTGTCGGGGCTGCTAGATGGTGCTTGGAGGGTGAGTCGGCATGCCGCCTTGTCTGACGTGCGACAAGGCTGGCAGTCGCTTGAGATCTGTGGACGTGCAGTGTCAGACCGGGAGGATATCCTCTCTCCCGCTTGGAAGAACGGACGAGTGTGGCTGAAGGCTGGGAGAGCCATGTGCTCGTCAAGTCAAACCATCTGCGGAGGAAAAGCGGGTAGCCGGTTTCTTCCTTCATGTCATCGAGGCGGTCAAGCCACTTTATCTGGTGGAAAAACATGGACAGCCCCGCCTCGCTGCGGCGGATGCGTTTGCGTCGCGCAGCCGGGCTGGCGTAGGAGGGTGGTGGCTGCCAGCAGGCGCGCCCCTCTGTGTGTCAGAGCTGCGTTGGTTCTCTTATCAGTCTTATCAGTTCTCGATGGATGCACTGCCCACCTGGTTCAGAGCAGATGCCGGGTCTGAGCATGATAACCTTCAACTACTGATCTGCGCCCTGGAGGCCCTTGCGCAGTTGGTGCTCTTGGCTCTGCAGCGCAGGATGGTTTCTCGCTCCAACGTTGGATGCTTGGTCATCCGGCAGTTTTGTGATAACATGGGGGTTGTGGGAGACTCTGCCAAGGGTTTTTCGATGAAAGAACCGCTGGCGTCAGTTCTGCAGGCGCGGGCGCTATTCTGCCTAAATGAGGGCATCAATTTCCGAGTCGCGCGTATGGCCGGAGAACGGAACCAATGGGCTGACGCACTGTCCCGGGGTCCGGAGTTTGATCCTGCGTTTTGGTCTCAGCTGCGTGACGGGCGGCGCTGTGCAGTGGACTGGAAGAGCCTCCTCAATTCGGGTCGACCTGACGCGTTACCAGTTAGTGCGGCGCCTGCCAAGCCAGGAAAGGGCCCTTGAGCAGCGAAGAGGATGCGTCCTGCTTGACGTGTGTCTGAGATGACTTTTGACAGCAGCGTTGCGGCTCAGGAGTGTCTGCGCCTCTGTTGCTGGAGTGGTGTTGCGATGGCATGATTGCATGGTCTGCAGAATTATCGTAATTATGCTTATACCGTCGTTCGCGCTGAAGGTTGGTGTGATGGTTGTTGTGCTACCGACAGGTGTTTGGCTGCGGCTGCGCGTGGGGCTAGATTGCTTCTGATTTCGGAGAACTCATTTACCTATCTTTGCAGCCAAAACACCGTGTCTCTGCATCTGCATGCTGTCAGTCGGCTGTTTAGGGTTGGTAGGTTTGCGCTGGGGTAGGTCGGGCTAATGGCCAGCGCGCGCCACGAACCCTAAACTACGACGAACAGCTATTTGTATTTGCCTGCTGGTCAGCGAGGCCACTGGTCGTTGGCATCAGGAGCGTCTGTGGGGGGCCAGCCGCCGTCAGCGATATCCATCAAAGCACCCGCCCGCCCGCCCCTGCTTGGATCACAGGTGTGACAAACGAGGATTCGGGCCAGATGGCCCACAATAGCAACTTTATTTGGGCCGCCCAATGGCGGATACACAAGGGGCTAGATTGCCTCTGATTTCGGAGAACTCATTTACCTATCTCTGCATGCTGTCAGTCGGCTGTTTAGGGTTTTAGGATTCTGGGGCTTAAGCTTTGGGAAGCTTTGGGGGTGTGGCTCGGCTGTTTTTAGTGTGGGCAATTGGTCTTTGGGGTCAAGGGCTTGGAGGTGTGCTGCGGGTTGTAAGTAGGGTAATAACTACTGTGAATGACTGGTTCTGCCCTGTGTTGGGCTATTCATTACCCCTACTTTTAATTTCTCATGAACCTTCAAGTGCCTGGTAAGAGGCGACAGTACATTCTAAACCCAAAACCCCAAACCCCAAACCCTAAACCCTAAACACCAAACCCCAAACCCTAAACCCCAAAGCCTGAACCCTGAACGCCCTGCCCTAAACTCCAAACCCCAAACCCCAAACCCTAAGCCCCAAACCCTAAACCCTGAGCCCTAACCCATAAGCCCCAAGCAGCTCCGCCAGTCCGCAGCTGCAGAAGGCCTGCGAGGCCGTGAAGCGACGCGGCTGGGCCAAGGTGTGGGGGGGGGGGGGGTTTAGGGTTTAGGGTTTAGGGTATGGGGTTTTAGCGGGGTTCAGGGTTCAGGGTTTTAGGGTTTAGGGTTTAGGGTTTAGGGTTCAGGGTTGGCTATATAGAGCCTAGCGGGTTTAAAGGGCTCATAGGGATCCCTCATGGGGATCAGAGTCGAAGCTCTAAACCCCACAAGCCCAAGATCTTGGGATGTTCTCCCGTAGACTAACAGTCCTTAATCGGGAGTATAATCGGGGGTACTGTAATTCCTATTAAGGACTGTTAGTACAAAGGGGGAACATCCCAACCCAGATCCCATAATCTAGACAACTGGCCTTGTGCGCCCTAAACCCTAAACCCTAAACCCGAAACCCGAAACCCTAAACCCTAAACCCTAAACCCTAAACCCTAAACCCTAAGCCCTAAGCCCTAAGCCCTAAACCCTAAACCTTTGTGCACCTTAAACCCTCCCCGAATCCTGAGCCCCAAGCCTTTTCGACTCGCCATGGCAGATCAAATGGCCCCACGACTTCACGGCGCTCCACCTTGCCGCGCAATTTGGGGAGGACTGGGTTTAGGGGGGATTCAGGGTTCTTGGGGGGTTAGGGTTTAGGGTTTAGGGTTTAGGGTTTAGGGTTTAGGGTTTAGGGTTTAGGGTTTAGGGTTTAGGGTTTAGGGTTTAGGGTTTAGGTTCTTGTTCGGGATTCAGGGCTCTCGGGGCAGAGGGGATGACATTTTTGAGATCTGGGCCGTAGAAGTAGGGTTTAACATCTTCGGTAGGTCACATGGGCCCTGAATATGGGGGTTTACGAACATACGTGAACCCTACAATAGACCCCCAAATAGTAGGATTCCCTTCTAAATAGAAACCCCAAGAAGGTACCCTTATTGTCGGAAACCCCCATAAATAAGGTCCCTTCCCTCCCCTAAAGGGTTCTGAAGTATGGGCAATTTGGGTTGTATAGGGTATACAAGAGGTATATAAGGGGTCACCTTTCCCATGCAACTACCCTACGGATGGTCTGAAGAGCGGTCCAGCTGGACTCTGTGAGATGCCCCTCAACCCTTAGAAAAAACCTCAAAAGCCGATAAACCCTAAAACCCCCAAAGCCTGAAAAGCTTAGTAACCCTGAAGCCCCTACATGCCCATCTAAAGCCTGAAAACACTAAAGGCGGGATGACCCTGGAGCCAAGGTTTTTTCGGCACATCCGGAAAAAGAGATAAGATGCAAGACATAAGGGAATGGAGATAAGAAAGAAAAGATAAGAGTTAAGAGATGAGAGATGAGGGACGGGAGATGAGAGATGAGAGATGAGAGATGAGAGAGAGATGAGAGATGAGAGCGAGAAACAACACATTAGAGATAGAGACAGGGTTATCTAGGGCATTTTCGGGAAGCATTAAAACCCTAAACCCTAAACCCTAAACCCTAAACCCTAAACCCTAAACCCTAAAGGGTCCATTCTAGAGTCTAGAGTTCCGCCTTGCTTCCCTGACTCACCTGTGCGAAGGAGAAGGCCGTCGAGTTCCTTCTGCGCGCGAGCTTGCAACCCAGAGCTTAAGGTTCAAGGTTTAGGGTTTAGGGTTTAGGGTTTAGGGTTTAGGGTTTAGGGTGTAGGGTGTAGGGTTTAGGGTTTGGGGTTTGGGGTTTGGGGTTAGGGGGTTAGGGGGTTAGGGGGTTAGGGGGTTAGGGTTTAGGTTTTGGGGTTTAGGGTTTAGGGCTTAGGGTTTACCCAAGCCCGAGGCAGTAAACCCCAAACCTCTACACACTCCAGAATCCAGAAGGTTTAAGTGAAGAAATGTGTTCCCTGAAAAGGTGTATTCTGGGCATTATCATGTAGAGGCTCGAACCTAAACCCATAACCTCAAACCCCCAAACCCTGAACCCTCGTAAGCAAACCTAAACCCTCAAAGCCCCTAAGAGCCCTAAGCCCTAAATCCTAACCCGGAAACCCGAACCCTAAACCCTAAAACCCGAAACCCTAAACCCTCAAGCACAGCGAGGCGCAGCCCCTGGCCTGGCGACGGAGGTGGTTCAGGGGCTTTAGGGTTTTGTAGGGTGTTTTAGTGTTTTTAAGGTCTTTTAGGGTGTTTTAGGGTTTCGTTTCGGGGTTTTTGGGGTTTCTTAGCTTTGTTTAGGGTTTCTTAGGGTTTCTTAGGGTCTCTGAGGGTTTCTTAGGTATTTTCGGTTTTCTAAGGTTTCTAGATTTCTTAGGGTTTCTAGGGTTTCTGAGAGGTTTTAGGGGTTTCTGAGAGTTTCTAGGGTTTGCCGGTGTTTTTGTGAGGGTTTCTAGGGCTTCTTAGGGTTTGAGGTGGCCAGGGTGTATGGGGTTTAAGTTTCTAAGGGTTATTTAGGGTCAGTTTACAGGGGTGGGTTGAGGGTGTACGTAGGGTTTATAGGGTGTATAGGGTTCTTCGGGTTCATAGGGTTCATAGGGTTTATAGGGCTTATAGGGTTAGGCCGTAGAAGGCTTGTAGAGCCTTATGGGGGCCTCTTGGAGTTAGCGAGCGTTTTGGGGCCTCTGAAGCTTGGCAACTCTTGGGGAACCTCGATGGCTTGGTCTGGGGTGGAGGGATGGTGGTAGGGTTTAGGGTTGGGATTTGGGGTTTGGAGTTTAGGGCTTAGGGTGTGTCACGTGCTTCACGCACACCGCCGCGCAGGTGTTGTGGTGTGTGCCAAGGTTCACGTTGCCTCCATCCCGCCCACCCAACTTATGACATGCATTTGTTGGGCTACTCTCCTCCTATCCAAGCTGCTGGAACCCCATGCAAGGTTTCAAGGAGGGCCTCTTAGGGCGCTCCAAGCTTCCCCAAAAGCTTTGTAGCGTACCATTTGTGGTGGCATGCCCAACGTTCTTCTGGAATGCTTCAGCATGCCTGTCGCGTGCGCCGGCTCGCTGCAATCTAGGATGCCCGGTAGCACCCTCAGTCCCTTTGCTTGGGGGTTTAGGTTCCCTTAGAGAAAGCAGCCAAAAAGGGCACCCTTTTTGATCCGAGATCACTGCACCAACCTATCAGTTTAGGGTTTAGGGCTCAGGGTCCTCAACTTCTAACAGAGACGCCTGGCAGGACTCGAAGGGTCTCCGACCGCTGGAGTATGCCATCAACAAAGGCCGCCGACAAAGGTATTAGAAGTTGGGGGCTTGTAAGGGTTTTTCGCCGCACATCGGGCTTCAGGGTCGTGGGGTTCAAGATCTTGGTTATAAAGTGTCAGCAACCCAGAATTTGTGGGGTTTCTGGTGTCTTCGGCTCAAGAGGCACCCGGTCATCTTGGATGCTGCGAGGCCACAAGAACCTGTCGCAGCTGCTTTCGCCGAAAGAGGCTGTGTCTGACAGCAGTGCTGAACTCAGAGGCATCGGCAAGAGAACGACACGTGTCTGTAAAACTGCCCTAAACCTTAAACCTTAAACCCTAATAAACCCTAAACCCCAAACCCGAAACCCTAATCACAACTCGCAGCTGTGCGGCATTGCACAGCTCCAAGTGCCGCTTTTTGATGTTTGCACGTCTGCATCCACGATTCCGCCGCTTGCCAAGGCCCATCTGGCGCGCAAGGTGCACGGACCTGGATGCTTGAAGCTCAAGGGTTTTATGGTTCATATACATGAATAGGAGTTGTAGTATTAAAGGGTATATGACCCAGATTGTAGGGTTCATTTGGTCTGCAAGGAACCCCAGAGCCCTATACTGCCTTCTACTGCTAAACTAGTTAGACCTTATAGGCTCTTGACCCCTGAGCCTTTTCATAAACCCTCTTTGCCACAACCCCCAAGCACCAAACCCAAACTCTAAACCCTATAACCCCAAATCCTCAACCCTCAACCCTAAACTTTGCACCCTAAACCCTAAAACCTTAAACCCGAATCCCTAAACCCTAACCCTAAAACCCTTAAACCCCGCATAAGCCCTGAACCATACCCGCCAGACGGTGCGCCGGCCGCGTCCTCGCCTGCCCCGCGCACGGCGCAGGCGGTCCGGGGTTCAGGGTTTAGTGCTCAATGGGGTTTAGGGTTTAGGGTTTAGGGTTTAGGGTTTAGGGTTTAGGGTTTAGGGTGTAGGGTTTAATTAGGTTTGAAGCTGATAGGGTGTAAGGTGTAGTTTAATCAGAGTTTAGTGGTGATTAGGCTTCAGTGTTAAGAGCTATCGCTCCAAAAGTATTCCTTCAACCGCCTGAACCCCAAACAGGTTCTGAAGTTTTAGGGCTTGAGGGCTTGTAAGGTCCCTAAACCCTAAACCCTAAGTCCTAAACCCTAAACCCTAAACCGCCTGCAGCCCCCTGACTGAATGAGACCCCGAAGTTCTAGGGGCCTCAAAGTTTCGTCGGGTGGGGATCTGGAGATGTTTCGGGTTTAGGGTACGGTCTGAAAGTGTACAGGGCCATGCAGTTTTGCATTTTCGGAGCCTATAGCGCCCGAAGCTCAGACCCCGCATTCCGACTTGACCAAACCCACCCCATCCCCCCAAAAATCATCCCCAAGAGCCTGAACCTCTGCACGCCTCTCTGACCCCTCTCTGACGCCTAAGCCCGAAGCCCTAAACCCCAAACCCTAAACCCTAAACCCTAAGCCCTAAACCCTAAACCCTAAACCCCAGCTTTATTGGCATTTCGGGTGAGGGTCCCTGGGCGCATCGCCTGGGCCCAGGACACGCCGCCAAAGGAGGCGCATGCCGACGGTGGAGGGGGCGAAGCCCGTGGCCCCTGGGCTGCTGACAAGGAATCTTAAGTGTAGGGTTTAGGGTTTAGGGTTTAGGGTTTAGGGTTTAGGGTTTAGGGTTTAGGGTTTAGGGTTTAGGGTTTAGGGTTTAGGGTTTAGGGCTTAATTAGGGTTTAGGGTTTCGGGTTTAGGGCTTGGGGGGCTTGAGGCTTAGGGCTTGGAGCTTAGGGCTTACCAACAAGATTGGATGTTGTGCAAACATTTCGTTGGTTGTCTAGATGTTGTTCTCCTTCTTCCTGTGGGCTCTTGGATCTTCACGCTTGCAATCTTGGGCAGCAACTCAGGAAACGCCGTGGTGTGGGTTTTCAGTTTTAGGGTTTCAGGGCTTAGGGCGGGTTTAGGGTTTGGGGCTTTAGGGTTTAGGGCTTTCAGGGTTGAGGGCTTTCAGGGTTTAGGGCTTTAGGGTTTGGGGGTGTTTTAGATTTCGCGGGTTGAGGGTCTCAGGTCTTTAAGCAGACACGGAGCGCCCGAAGCGACGTCCCCTTTGATTTAGAGGAGCCAGCAGCTTTTTTCACGTTCTGCGGCTATGTATGAGTGTCCATGACAAGCTCATCTTTCCAAGCAAGGTTCCTAGAACTGCTATCCTCAAAGGCCTGCGCCCAACTTTGTATTTTAGGGTTTAGGGCTAGGGTTTAGGGTATAGGGTTTAGGGTTTGGGGTTTAGGGTTTAGGGTTTAGGGCTTAGGGCTTAGGGCTTAGGGTTTAGGGTTTAGGGTTTAGGGTTTCGGGTCGCCCGCCACTCTCCTGCGCCCAGAACCGGCTGCCGCGGCGGAAGTGGCCAGCCAAAACCTCTTGAAGGCACCTGGGCTCCGAAACTTCTAGGGTTCTTAAGGTTTGGGGTTTGGGGTTTAGGGTTTAGGGTTTAGGGTTAAGGGTTAAGGGTTAAGGGTTTAGGGTTTAGGGGGTTCAAGCGGGGTAGGTAACTTAAGCTCCTAATACTCCCTACTAACTACTCTTCCCTTAAGAACCCTATAAGAAGCCCGGAACCGAGAGCCTTTCCCCCCTCAACCCTGTGCCTCAGACCCTGAACTTTCAGGGTTTCGGGGGTTTAGGGTTTAGGGTTTAGAGTTTAGGGTTTAGGGTCTAAGCCTAAACCCTAAACCCCGCCAACCCTTTCAAGCCCCTAAAACCCTCAACCTGCAATTGACACAAGTCGTAAACCCTGAGCCCTGCCCAGAGGCAGCAATGTAGTACCTTTTTTAAATAGCATCGAACATCCCAGTAGAAATGCTCCTGTCTTAAAGGTTTTGTGTCGGTTGGTTCAAGCGCTTCGTCAGGCTTTTTTTCTGCCTCCGCCGTATGCTTTCCGTTGTTCAACTTTGCTCTTGTCACATGCTGGGCAGGACAGCAAAGGCAGCGCACTTGCCGCCCAGGCAGCACGGGCAAGAAGCTGAAAAACCCTAAGCCCTGAACCCTAAATCTTAGAACGCCTAAGAAGGGTTTATAGGGCAGTTGGGAAAAGAACACCTAGACCTTGAACCCTACACCGTATACCCTAAACCCTAGACACTATAGATAGGGTTAGGGCCTAACTTCTTATTTCAACCCCCTGGGAGCCCGCCACTCAACAACAAGACATCCCTACGCCCTCAACCTTTCCACCCCCCAAGCGAGGGTTTGGGGTTTGGGGTGAACCCTGCACCCTGCATGAAACCTAAACCCTTCTTCGGGGTTTAGGGGCATAGGGGTTTCGGGTTAGGGTTTAGCGGGCCTGGGGTGTGTAGGGGGGTAGGGGTTGAGGAATCAAGGCCGAGCGGGTTTGAGCGAAATTTGGGGCTTAGGGGGTGAATGTTTGTAGCCAGGAAGCTGCGAACGGCTTTGCTGAGTTTGTTGGGAGAGAGCAGGGGGTTTGGGGGTTTGGGGACCCCATACCCTAAACCCGAAACCCTCAGCCTAAGACCTAACCCTAAACCCTCTCTTCGCTCTCCCCCCAAAAGCTTTGTGGCAGGTGCGCAAGGTTCTCATCAGGCGCCGGGGCTGAGAGTGTTTTGAGGGATTTGGGGTTGGAATTGCGGGGTCAGGGTGCCTTATAAAGCCCTCCATTCTAGCCCCTAAGGTTAGGGTTCCGGTTTAGGGTTTAGGGTTTAGGGTTTAGGGTTTAGGGTTTAGGGTTTAGGGTTTAGGGTTTAGGGTTTAGGGTTTAGGGTTTAGGGTTTAGGATTTAGAGTGGAGGGGTTGGGTACCCAAGTGGAGGATGGCTGTAAATTGGGAGGCGTTGAGTTTGAACCCTGAGCCAACCCCTAACTTCAAACATCAAACCCTAAGTTTAGGGTTTACGGTGTAGGAATTAGAGTTTAGGGTTCGGGGTTTCGGGTTTAGGGAACCCTGAACACTGAACACTGAACCTCAAGCAAAGCCACAGGCAGCGCACCCTTCGCACCTTCACCGATGATGTCGACCTCCTGCAGGTCGGGAGTGTGAAGCCTTGTACTAGGGTTTCGGGTTTAGGGTTTAGGGTTTAGGGTTGAGGGTTTAGGGTTTAGGGTTTAGGGTTTAGGGGGACCCTTAAAGGTAACTCTTCTTATCCCTCTTCTGGCTCTCTCAAAAACAGGGACCTTACTCAGAGGCTCTATATCCCCCAGGGTCCCCCTAATCCTATCCCCTATGTAGTAAGCGGACTTTTTTTTCTTCTTTTTTTTTGGGGGTGGGGGGGGTGGGGGGGGGGGGTTAGGGTTTCGCCGGTTCGGGCTTAGCTTTAAACCCCAAGCCCCACCCCTCTCCCCTCCCCTCCCAAAACCCCAAAACCCTGAAAGTTTCTGAAAGCCTCTGAACCCCAAAACCCAAGCCCCTAACCCTGAACCCCAAAACCCCAGAACAAAACCCCCAATCCCCCCAAAACCTCCAAAACCCCCCAAAACCTCCAAACCCCCCAAAGCACTCCCAAAATCCGGAAACCTCAAAACCCCAGAAAGCCTCAACCCCTATCCTTAACCCTAAACCCTAAACCCTAAACCCTAAACCCTAAACCCTAAACCCTAAACCTTCAACTCCCTTCAGTGTGGGACCTCGTAGCGGGCGGGCCACGGGTTTGGGGGTTGCGGGTGTAGGGTTGAGGCTTCATGGTCAACCCAAAACCCTAAACCCCCTAAATCCAAAACCCTAAACCCTAAACCCTAAACCCCGAAACCCTAAACCCTAAACCCTAAACCCTAAACCCTAAACCCTAAACCCTAAACCTAGAATCTTTGGGAGTTTAGTAGGCACTTCCGGGATCCCCCAATAAATTTCCCCAGAAACTACTCATGGGCAAGGTTTGGATTCTCTCCGTAAGGGGTCCTGGGGTTTTAGGATTAGGGGTTTTGGGTTTGGGGTTTGGGGCTTCAATTTTTGGGTTTGTTGGGTTTACGGTGGCAAGCTTGACGCAGGAAAGGATCCGACCACGAGACAGAGATTCGGAGGAGCCACGCTTGTATGTCTTTGAGAGGCTGGGGGGGGGTAGGTACGAAAGAGAACCTTCGGGAAACTTAGGGGAGTTTTTGGGAACCTTGGGTTACATACCCCCTTGAACCCCCCCTCCCTTAGAAGGACCCTATAAACAGTTTCCGCGCAACCCACCTCCTCAGCCACTCCAACTGAGAGTAGCAGTACATCAAATCCTGTCTGCGAAGTTGCTTGCATTCGCCCCATGGCGCGCGTGGTGCTCCTTGCTGCCTTCATGGGCTTGGTGTTGGGGGTCCGGGTCCAGCCCGAGGGCGCTGGAGCCAGCCTGGAGGAGCTCAACGCCTCATCCCTGGAGGAGCAGTGGCTCTATCCTCATTGGGAATTATTTTCTATTTTTGTTTATATAACACCGAGGATGTCAAAAATATGTTTTTTATTAAGGTTCTAAGAGCAGTATAGGTGGCTGAGCGGCCACGGGCACAATCTGAAGTATGCCGACATGAAGTGCCTGGCCTGCACAGGGCTCTGGAGCGCCTACGACCCCCGGAACAACGGAGCGCACAACCTCGACAACCCGGTCAACGTCGTGGACAAGTGCTCCGCCTCGTGCTCTCAGGTCCAGGCCCTGACTTCCGGGGACGTCCGCTGCTCCGCCTGCTTGACGCTCTGGAGTGGCTTCGACCCTCGCCAAGGTGGGAGCTACAATCTGGACAGGCCCGAAGTCGTCCAGGGCAAGTGCCGGCAGTCCTGCTCGATGGGCACCATTGCAGAGGATGATGTAGGGTTCAGGGTTCAGGGTTCAGGGTTTAGGGTTCAGGGTTTTGGGTTTAGGGTTTAGGGTTTAGGGTTCAGGGTTTAGGGTTTAGGGTTTATTGCAGAGGATGAGCGGTGCCTCGCATGCACCTCGATGTGGAGCAGCTATGACCCCCGCAACAATGGCCAGTACAACCTGGACAATCCTGGCAAGGTAGCGCAAAAGTGCAGCCACAGTTGCCGGGCTGCAAGTTAAGTTACCATAGTTACGATACGTTTCGTACTTGCCACAGATCCCCTACACGAAGCCCGTAAACCCTAACCCCTATAAACCCTAAACCCTAAACCCTAAACTCTAAACCCTAAACCTGCAGGTTGCTCCTCCGGTCGGCTCATGACCTCGCAAGATGTCCAGTGCTTCGCCTGCCTGACCATGTGGACCACCTACGACCCGAGATCCTCCGGCTACAACCTGGACAATCCTGTGCCTTGGGGACCAAATGAACCATGCAAAGGGTTTAGGGTTTAGGGTTTAGGGTTTAGGGTTTACGGCTTCTTTACCTGAATTTGGGGGGGAGTGGTGGGGCTGGGGGAAGGGTGGGCGGGGGGGGAGGCCAAAACGTGTGCCGTCGCCTGCTTTGTGCTCCCCATACACCCACGGTGGGGCCTCGGGACAGGGATTGATTATATAGTATTGGTACAATTTGCATAAGAACCCCTAAGAATTGAAGAAGAATAACCCCTGTATTGCCCTCAAGAAGGGGTTCTTAAGCCAATAGTAGACTGGCAGTACAGGGTACATGATTTGAGTTTTTGAGGTGAAGGTGCTGGAGAAGTGCTCGGTCAGCTGCCAACCCTGAGCATGGCATCGAGAACGATCATCGCAAGACGTGTTGCATCATTCTTTCAGGGTTTAGGGTTTAGGGTTTGGGGTTTAGGGTTTAGGGTTTAGCGTTTAGGGTTTAGGGTTTAGGGTGTAGGGTGTAGGGTTTAGGGTTTAGGGTTTCTATGCTCTCCCCTCCCTTATGCCTCGGCGACCCAGCCATGGCCCGGCCCAGAACCCCCCCCCCCCAGGGGTCTTTAGGGGTGTTCTCAGAGTCGAATTCAAGGTGTAAGGATAGTTGGGTTTAGGGTCTAGGATTTAGGGGTAGTTGGGTTTAGGGTTTAGGGTTTACATAGGGTTTAGGGGGTTTCCTGGCCCTTGAGATGAAGGTGCCAAGGTCCGCAGGCCTTGTGCCCGCCAAGCACCAAAAATATTGCCCAAGACCTGAAACATGAATCCAATTCCCGGATCCCCTGCCCCCTTTTAATATTGAAACCCCTCACCCGCTACTGCTACTATTCACCGCCCCCCCTGCCCCCTAACATTAACAGTCCCCAAACACTAGAATTAATAGAACCATAAAGGGAGTATTGAAATATTAGGGGGGATTTAATATTCGGGGGAAGGGGTTAGACGCCCCGACTTGGACCCCAATTATCCCTGCACTGATAAACCCCAAAGTCCCCTATGTAGTCTATAAGTAGGCTTAGAGTTAGGGGTTCTAACTCTAAACCGGGCCCGAAAGCAGGAAGCCCCAGACCCGAAAGCCCTGAAGCTCCACTGCGCGATCCGCAAAACCTTGTGCATTTTTGGAGTAGCTTAAGGTTAGGGTTTAGGGTTTAGCGTCTTTAGGGTTTAGGGTTTAGGGTTTAGGGTTTAGGGTGACATGTTCCGAGAAAGCCACCAGGAGAGCGGGCTGGCAGAGCTCCGAGAGGAGCTCCGTCGCGTGAAGCTCGAGAACCAGGTGGGTTTAGGGTTTAGGGTGTACGGTTAGGGTTTGGGGTTCACTTGGGGCGGGTTTACGGCTTCAGGGGTTTAGGGTTCTGGGGCCTTAAGAGTTCGGGGTTTGGGAGCTTGGAAATGAAATTTTGGAACGCCCCAAGCAACCTCAACCCGCAACCCCTTTACTCCAAACCTCTCAACCCCCTGACACCCGCAACCGTCAAAACCGTCAAAACCCTCGAAACCCTCGAAACCCCAAGCCCAAACGCCCCAAACCCCGAAACCCTAAACCCGAAAACCCTACACCCCGACCCCCCCCCCCCCCCCCCCCCCCCCCCCCCCCCCCCCCCCCCCCCGACTCTCCTTATCCCTGTGCCTATGTCTGCAGGCCCTTCGCCAGAGCAAGAGTCGTGCTCTCAGAGCTCACAAGCTTCGGCTTCAACCTCCCAAGCCTTGGCCACAAAGGTTTAGGGTTTAGGGTTTTCAGGGGGGTGTACGGTTTGGGGGGTGTAGGGGTGTAGGGGGTTTAGGGTTTAGGGCCTTAAGAGGACTAGGGTTTAGAGGTTTAGGGCTTAGGGTTTAGGGCTTTAGGGGGGTTAGGGTTGAGGGGGTTTAGGGTTCAGGGTTTAGGGTTTTGCGTATTAGGGTACCCTAAACCCGAAACCCGAAACCCTAAACCCTAAACCCTAAACTCTAAACCCTGAACCCTGAACCCTAAACCCCCTTTGGGGTTGAAGGGTTCAAGGGTTTAAGTTCTTCAGGTGTAGGTTTTGAAGGACCTCGGGTTTCCCTCCTAAAGCGCTGGAGCTCACTGTCCCGGAGCTCTGGGCTCAGTTTAGGGTTTAGGTTTTATAAACCCTATAGGGTTTAGGGTTTAGGGTTTAGGGTTTAGGGTTTAGGGTTTAGGGTTTAGGGTTTAGGGTTTAGGGTTTGCGGGTTTGGCGGGTTCTTCTGCTGCAGTTGTGTCGTGAAGGCCAGTGTTAAGGGGTAAATTAATCTTATTCCCCTACACAACCCCTATATACATAATTTGTACAAAAATAATGTACCCTATATAGTCCCTAAATACCAAAGTCGCCCCCCCAAACAACCCCTAAATAACCCCTAAGGTTCCCCCCTTCTTGAACCCAACGCCCCCCCCCCCGCCCCACCCCACCCCACTTCAACAGATGAAAAGCGCCCAAACCTGTTTCTGCTGCTTTTCGACGTCCTTGGGGCCGGCTGCCACAAGTACAAGGGGCATTAGTTGCTCCGGAACCGGACCCATTATGGGGCCTGTGGGGATCCCAGTTTTTCTGAATATGTGTACCTGCTTTCTTTAAAATACATGTATACATGCGCATCTACACAAGAAAGCAACAACAAATGAACAAATACATACATAAATAGATAAAACGAAATATGAGGAGATAAATGAATATACACACACACACGATATATGGTCATAATTACAAGGCTCACTGATTGGTGGTGGTTCGCTTTTCCAAAGAGTGAGGGGATGAAACTGCGTGAAGCCCCAGGCCCAGGCGGTGGCTTTGCGCACGAGGGCTCCGGGCGCGACGAGGGGCCTGGGAGTCCAAGGAGTCCCTCGTTTTAGGGTTTAGGGTTTAGGTTTTAGGGCTTCGGGCTTAGGGCTTAGGGCTTAGGCTTTCAGTTAGGGTTCAGGGTTTTGGGTTAGGTTTTAGGGTTAAGGGTCTAGGGTTTAAGTTGAGGTTTTGGGTTTAGGATTTAGGATGTCCCAGGAGTCCCGCGGCTCGCGGTGGCGGCGGCGGTGGGGGCGGCGGCGGGGGCGGCGCGCTGGCCGGCCCTTTGTCGGAGGCAGCTTCATGGGTTCCGAGTCGGCTTGGATGCTTTAGGGAGTTTAGGGTTTAGGGCTTTCAGGGGGTTAAGGTTTAGGGGGTGTAGGGTTGAGGCTTTAGGCTTTAGGCTTTAGGCTTTAGGCTTTAGGCTTTAGGCTTTAGGGTTTAGGGTTTAGGGTTTAGGGTCCCGAAGGGTCCATGTACCTGATTTTTGCATCCTGAGGCCCTAAAGTCCTCACATGGGAAGTACTTTATTTAAGGCCAAAGTAATTGTTCCCTCTTCAGGTACATGGACCCATAGGGTAGTTTGGGTAGGTGATCAGGGGCTTTCGAAACGTGTGGGGCCATGTTATGAAAATGAGCCAGCGTGTGAGCTGGCCGAATCCTGAGCTGTCACAGTCTCTAAACCGGAAGTACTGATTTGGGATTTGCTCGGAGAGTAACTGTTGCCCTAAACCCTAAACCCTAAACCCTAAACCCTAAACCCTAAACCCTAAACCCTAAACCCTACACCCTACAGAAATCCTAAACCCTAAAGAGGAACCTGGACGTGGAGGAACCTAGCCCTCAAACCAAGCCAGAGACCCATGAACCCTACAAAGGCCTTGTAAGACCTCAGATGTCAACCCCAAGTCTCTGTAGGTTTAGGGTTTAGGGTTTAGGGTTTAGGGTTTAGGGTTTAGGGTTTAGGGTTTAGGGTTTAGGGTTTAGGGTTTAGGGTTTAGGGTTTAGGGTTTAGGGTTTAGGGTTTAGGGTTTACGTTTGCTCTTTCGGTCGACCGAAGAAGCCGGCGCAATCCTTGTGTGAAGGAGCTGCTCAGCAAGTACCTCCAGGAGTTGGAGATGTTCGGCAAAGACAAGGCGAGACCCTCGAATTCGGTTTGTTTTTGGATTTGGGGATTCAGGAATTCGGTGCCTTCCAGGATTCCATTTTGTGTGTAGGGTTTAGGGTTTAGGGTTCAGGGTTCAGGGTTGAGGGTTTAGGGTTTAGGGTTTAGGGTTAGGGACTCGGGGGATCCAGGGGCCATCTTTTCTTTTGGCAGGGGTGGGGGGGGGGCGGGGGGTGAGGTTGTAGGAGCTCGTGTTTTTTTAATCGTAGGACTTTGGTGGTTGGGAAGGTTTCGTTAGGTTTTGCTAGGAGTTACCAGTGGGACCTGAACCCTGAACCCGCAACCCGAAACCCTAAACCCCACACCCTGAACCCTAAACCCTAAACCCTAAACCCTAAACCCTGAACCCTAGGGGGCCCGAAGTCTCACTGCCGAGGTCTTCGACAAGCTGATGGACTCGCCCTTGGCCGGCGGGCAGGTGGCGGCTAAACCCTAAACCCCAAACCCTAAACCCGAAACCCTAAATCCTATAAGGCCTAAACCCTAAACCCTTTACCCTGAACCCTAAACCCTAAACTTTAAAACCTAAACCCTAAACCCTAAACCATGAATCTTAAGCCCTAAGCCCGAGGCATGTCCACCGGCTTTGGAGCTAGGCAGTTGTAGATCAGCTCCAACAACCAGACTGAAACTTGTAGTTCAAACAAACAGGCGTCAGGGTTCGGGGTTCAGGGGTTCAGGGGTTCAGGGGTTAGGGTTTAGGGTTTAGGGTTTAGGGTTTAGGGTAAAGTCAACCCTATAAATACTCAACCCTATAAAGCCCTAAACCCGATACACCCTCAACCCTATAAACCCTCAACCCTATAAACCCCTCAACCCTATAAAGCCCGAAACCCCAAAATCTCGAAACCCAAATCCGCTTCAACCGCGCTGGGAGTGTACCGTAGGAGTTCAGGGTGATCGCTCAAACTCCACGTCAGATCCCAAAGATAAAACCCTAAACCCGAAACCCTAAACCCTAAACCCTAAGCCCTAAACCCTAAACCTCAAACCTCAAACCTCAAAACCTAAACCTCGGCGCCAGGCCCTGTCTCCGGAAGAGGCAAACGCAGCTTTGAGGCCAGGGCCTGGAAGATTTAGGGCTGAGGCTTCATCAGGCCCTAAACCCTAGGCCCTAGGCCCTAAACCCCAAACCCCAAACCCCAACCCCCAAACCCCAAACCCTGGCCCTAAACCCTAAATCCGAAGGCCTTCAACCCGAAACTGGCAGGCAGCTGGATATGATCATCCGGCTGGCCAAGCTCGCGAGCGCCCAGGCGCCCCTGTAGCTCCCTCAAGAGGTTAGGGTTCAGGGTTTAGGGTTTCGGGTTTGGGGTTTGGGGTTTGGGGTTTGGGGTTTTGGGGTTTAGGGTTCAGAGATCAAGGCTCAGAGCCGGAAAAAGAAGCCCCAAAACCGATGAACTCGAA